AGAGAGCTTTGGCTTTGTATGAACAAGAGGTGGTTGTGGCTTTAACTCCCCCACCAAACTAGTTTAAAGTAATGAATGAAGTTTGTGACAAAAAAAAAAAAATATAGTTCAACGTTTACTCCATTAAATAATAGTATAATACACCATTCCAAACATAATATTTCATATTTACTATTTTTTTCTAAATGATTAACTGTATCATATATTTATTGTATTAGATTTTAATGGATTATTATTTATATGAAAATTCATTAAAAATATATTTACTGAGTAATTTATAATCATTTATATTTTATATATATTGATTTGTTTTCATATGATTTTTACTGGTTTAGTTATTACCAATAAAAATAAAAATATACCTACATGCTTTAAAAAATATAAATTTCTAAACTTAATAAATGAATAAAATTTCGAAAATAGTATTTTAAATGCCAAAAACCTTTATATAACTAATAAGTTTATGATTTAGTACTGAGAGTTTTGTACATGTTAAGTGCTTAAATGATATATAATAAATAAAAATTTGTTATTACTTTGTTGACAAAAAAGTAGATGATCAAACATAATTTACTCAATTAAGTGCAAATAAATTTCAATTATATGGTTAGTATGTTATAAAATATAAAATTTTATTATTTTAAAAATAAAATATAAAAATGAAGGGTTAGTTTATTAAGTCAATTTGACTTAATCCACAAAAAAACACAAACTAAATCAAATGAACTATAATAATAGAGAATATTGTACTAAATTCACAAATGAGATCGTCACTAACAGATAATTCTGTAAAGAATACATAATATTTTATACAGATTTTTTTTTCAAATAAAGATTTTAGTCTTTGTACATAGTTTACAAATTTAAAAAAATTGTATATAAGTTAGATTGACGTTATAAATTGTAGAACTCTCTCTCTCTCTCTCTCTCTATTCTCTGTAACTTCTCTTAAAAACTTTCTACCCAAGAACTTTGATCCGGTGGCTGGTAGTTATCAGCCGCCAGTCGCCATACCTTTTTTATTGTATTATATTTCTCTTCCGTTTAATCGGATTTTTACTTCGCTAGGCAGCTTGTTTATATCTATTGACGATTTTGGTGTGTACTTCAAACCAATATCGAGCTTATCTACAATTATAACAACAATCTAACTTATGTACAATTTTAAAAAAATTTATAAACTATGTACAAAAAGTAAACTTTTTACTTACATAAAAAATCCTATATAAAAATATTTATGAATTCTGTACAGGGTTATCCATTAGTGATGATCTCATTTGTGAATTTAGTACAATATTCTCTATTAATATAGTTCATTTGATTTAGTTTTGTGGTTTTTTTAGATTTAGTCAAATTGACTTAATTAACCAACCATTCATTTTTTTATAATTTATTTGATAAATATTAAAATCTTATGTTTTATATTTTATAACATACTAACCATATAGTTCAAATTTCTTTGCGTTTAAATTTAGTATATCATGTTTCGTCATCTACTTTTTTGTCAACAGTTTTATCGTCTATTTGAAAGTAATAACAAATGTTTAAATATTATATATCATTTAAGCACTAATAACATGTACAAAACTCTAAGTACTAAATCCTAAACTTATTAATTATATAAAGGTTTTTGGTATTTAAAATACTATTTTCGAAATTTTATTCATTTATTAAGTTTAGAAATTTATAATTTTCAAAGCATGTAGGTGTATTTTTTTTATTTTTATTGGTAATAACTAGAACAGTAAAATCCATATGAAAACTAGTCAATATATATAAACTATAAATTATTATAAATTACTCATTAAATATATTATTTTTATGCATTTTCATATAAATATATATATATGATAAATATGTGTATGATACAGTTATTGATTTAGAAAAAAGTAGTAAATATAAAATATTTTGATTAGATGGGTGTATTATACTATTATTTAATGGAGTAAAGGTTAAACTATATATTACTATTTTTATTATAAATAGCTAAATTAATTATTTTACAAAATAAAAATTGAATGTGGAATCCAAATGCTGAGGTGGATAGCTTAATAAGAGAGACGAAAATGTTTCATTATATATAGGGAAACTTTGAAGAAATGCACTCAAATAAGATTACAATTTGAAAACCACACCATTGTATAAGTTTTTAGAAAAGTACACTTATGTATATACAAATTTATCAAATGGTTCAATTTTAATATTTCTCAATTTCTAATTTATTTTAAATTTAAAGTAACAGTTTTACAAAAAAATGGTTTAGAAAAATCTTTAGAATATATACACAATATATCCCACTATATATTAAATGAGAAGTCACTTTATTGATTTTTTCTTAGGTGTCACTCATAGATGAAGTTTAGAATTAATTCTTTTAATTTGATTGGTTGTTGGTATTTGAATTTTTATTTATTTAAATCATGTTTTTAAAAGGAAACTAATCATAGAGTTACCTAATATAATATATGTTACCAAATAAACAATCAAACATTTTAAATTTAAATGAATTAATATAATTTTTTTGTTGAAACAATTGATTATCATAGATTACGTTATATAGATTTATAATATAAATATAAATACATATGATATTACATAAACAATTATATAAACGGTTTTAAAAATATTATATTTATAATGTATACAATAAATCATAGATTACAGAAAACTAATAAATAGAACTAATAATATTTCTACTCACTATATACACATATTATAAAAATGTGTCAACTGAATGCAAAACAATCAAATATATAATTTTTAAAAACTTTCTATCATTGTAATTGACAATGTGATATTATAGGTGAGTTTCATTTTTATAAATGATTAAAGTACTTTTTATATTTAAAATATCATATTCTCATCCCACTATATATTAAATGAGAAGTCATTTTAGTGGCTCCATAACCAGATAGCAGATAGATTATCCAAGACGGCTCGAGCTTTCTATAAAAATTCATTTTTTTATTGGTTGTTCTATTCCGGTCTGAATTCTTCGATCATCTCAAGTTTGAATAATTGAATAATATTTTGATGTAAAAAAAAAGAACATCAAAGTTCTAAGTGTATAATTCTGGTCACCAAGATTTGATAATACAAATAACTCTCTCTTTTGATATATCAGTTAAAAATAATAATGGCAATGGTTAGACATACAAAAAATGTGTTTGTTCTCTTATGCTAAAGACTTAAAAATCATTTAAAGAAACATGGTGTATCGAAGTTAAGATCATTCACTTGTGGATGAATTTTAACAAAGAAATCAGAAATCATTAAAATGATTTCGTCGATAAGAAAGTAGATAGTTATTATTACTAATTCAAATTTTATAGGCCAAATTCATTTTTACTAATATTTTATTTTTTCCTTAAATATATTTTGGATTGTAATGTTTTCCATAGCTACTAATTCTACTAAATATTTGCATGGTACTTTATTTTATTTTTTAACTGATCCACATAAATCTTTTAAAATTCAAACATGTGATAAGAATTCATGCTTCAATTGAAACTGATCAAAAATATGAAGATGACCTAGACAACGGTCATGTATGGTCGTAAATTTATTGATATGATACTTACAAAATTGATTTAGTAATTTAATATTTTATTTTAAGTCAAAAGTTATTTTTTTTTCATTTTTATCAGATTATACCAAACAAGTTTTACTTTTTTCGTTGACAGATATGTGTGCTAATATTTAGTTATTTAATAATATAAATATATTATTACTATTTTTCCTATTTTATTTCTGAAAATTGTTATTATTATTAACTTAATATGTTTATTAATTATTTAAATAAAAAGCATATAATACTAGTCTATTTTAAAACATAAATATTTTTCTGTTTTATTAAACTTGGTATTTAACCATATTAAGTAAAATTCACAAAATGTTATAAAAGATAAATATATTTATGATTTTTTGGTGTAAAACTGAAAGAACCGAAAACCGACGGTATATATATCGAACCCAAACAAAGTCTATATGGTTTTAATATGGTAGTTTTTTTTATAAACTAAAATACCAAAAAATTGAAAAACCGAACCAAAATCCAGATTGAACACCCTTACTACTACATCATTTTTTTCAGGATATTTTGTTCTTAAGGAGTAGTTAATAATAGAGATATCATTAATATTACTGAAGTATATGAACTAATATTGTCTTATCCAGGCAACATGATAAGATTCTCTTTTCTAATTTTTCGATAAAGATTTTTGACATATTGTCATTTAGGAACCGGTTGGAACTTTCATTACCATTATGACTATCAATGTATCAATGATGAATATAGATTGAACTATTAATATTACAACAAAAAGTAATGTTTACACACAATGTTGATGTTGATATCCAGCCTTCTTTTGTGCACTACATATGATCAAAGCATGTCAACGCTAATTTTGCCGATTTTTGTTCCCGCACAAGGTGCGGGTGAGTCACTTAGTTTATAATATATCTTAAATTTTTATTATTAAAGAATAAAAAATCTCTTGTCGATCTCTTGTCTCCTTCTCCATTTCTGATTTTTTTCTTCCTCTAGTTTCAAAGATTGTTCATTTCATCCCATTAATAGTTTTGTTGAATATAAAAAAAAAAATCAAATCATCGGCTCAAAAAAACTTATAAGATCTTCATGTCAAACACATAAATTTATCTTAAACATAAATAATTAAATCTTCTATTAATGAAATATCTGATATTGGTAAAAAAAAAGACAATTCATATTTAAGAAAGTGTATTTTTCAAAAAATAAAATAGAAGGTGTAATTATCAAATTTCAAACTGTCAATGGAGTAATTTACAAATTATTCAATTTGCATCATTGTACTGCAAATTCTCATGAATTTTCCATTTTTTAATTAAAACATTGTCTAAATTGTAAATAAAATGGGATATTAGTTTCATTTACGGTTGGAAAAACCAAAGTTAGCTAACCGAATTAAACCGAACCAAATTACTAGCCACTCCCGATTAGGGTTCTCCACGCTGCCAAACAAAAGTGTCTCTGGCTTCATCTCCTACGAACCTCCCGCCGAGCCCAACACACGACGGACCACAAACGCACGTGACCTAATCTCCGCGATCGAATATCTACAGGTGAGCATCTTCTCGTCTTTAACCTTCTGACTTCGATGAGAAATCGAATTGGGGATTTCACCACTCTCGTATAAGATCTAGGGTTTCGTATTGCATACCAATAGAACTCGTATAGTACTTCTCCTGACCGCTATGAATAGCTTTCCTTTGTTTTCTTAATGATTGATGAATGATTCTGAAGGAACTCTTGATGTGAATCTATTGAAAGTGTTTAGCTTAATAGTATTGAAGTTACCTTCATTGTGAATCTATTGAAGTTGTCACATAGTACGAATCTGTATCTATACCGAATCCACATTCTACTTCTTGAATGTTTAAATTCAGCTATGAAAGATGCACACTTTGGTTTAAGATGTCTCTGAATTAGGCAATGGATTCATTAATTCTCTGAAGCTGTTAACTCTGTGAGTGTTTTCTATAACGTTCTTGCACTCAGAATCTCAACTACTGCTGTTCTTGTGAGTGTTTTATATGCATTCTTGTTGAAGATAACTCAGAATCTTTCACTTCTGCTGCTAACTCTTCTATGAGTGTTTTTCTATACCTTCTTGCAGAAGAGAACTCAAAAGAAATGGACAACACTGTGAGCATTAAGCAAGAAGCACCACCGCCTCTTCCTCAAGAGATCTATGAGATACCGGGAGAGCCTGCAGTTGTCATCAACGGTGTCCCTGATGAGCCTCAGACAGAGTCTATGATTCCCAAAGACGAACCAAAACCATCGAGTGCCGCAACTGTAGGATGTGGAGAATGGCTTGAGGGTAGAGAAGTTCGGAAGTTTTTCTTGGGTCAGTACTATTCAGGTACGGTGACAAAGTTCGACAAAGGTACTGGATGGTACATGGTTGAGTATGAAGATGGAGATTCTGAAGAACTTGACTGGTCTGAGCTTGAAGAAGTGCTTCTACCTTTGGACGTTACTTTACCACTGAGATCGATCTCGTTATGGATCATCAAGAATCGACAAACGCAGGGTCAAGCTTATGGATCCATGCCGAAGCGCTAGACCATGAACTCTTAACACTAGTGAGTCTGGCTTATTGTGCTGAGTGAATATTGCTGAAAGCACGATGAGAAGAGGTTACAACACCCTTATGCCTTAAAACTGTAAACACTTTTAACAGTCTTTTGAAATTTTCCTCACTTGAATATATTCGGCCACTAGTAGAGGAACATTGTAATAGTGGAACCATAGAATATAGTAGTAACGCTAGAGACAAATAACGTTTTGTTTGGTATATGCTAAAATCCGAATTTTAGTAGATGAATGAAGTTTGTTTATGTGTTACCAAAAAAGAAAATGAATTGTTTGTTTTGTAACAGTTATATTTTTAAAACCCATTTGATACATGCACGTCTTTAGATTTTACTATGTGCTGATTCTTTCCAACTCTTTATATGTTTACCATTTACTTAAAGATCAGTGACAACTTGGCTATGAATAATTAGAAAAACTAAATCTGAAAACAATGGATGATTTCATCAAATAATCTATTCTATTAAAATAGATTCATTCTTTTTATTTACTAGAGTCATTTTTTTTATCTACTGATATAAGTTGTCATTTAAATTTGGACACTTTCTAGAGTGTTACAAATAATACAAGTTATATAGTTGATTGAACCGCATTACTTAAATTAAACCGGCGGTTATTTACGTAATAGAGTTTTGGGCTTACTTTTGTTTTTATGACATTTGAATGTTTGGTTTTTGGGCTTAGTATTAGGCCTGTTCAATCTGGTATTCGGTCCGGTTTCGGTTCGGTTTTTTTCGGTTATTCGGTTTATAAAACTTAGCTACCATATTGGAACCATATTTAATTTGGTTTGGTTCGGTATTTATACTTCCGGTTTTCGGTTTATTCGGTTTTATACCAAATAACATTATTATTTGATTTGGTTTCATAATATATGACTTTTTAAAAAAAAACATATTGTCAAAACTATCATTTATTAAAATAATCCTAGGTGTTCATAAAAATAAAAATGTGAAATTAACAACAAACAAAATGATCAACGATTCAGTTTGTATAGCTTTTCTTATTTTCTCTTTGTTCTTCCAAATAAATTACATGGTACAATATAATTTCACAATTTCTTACAACATGTAAAATCAAATCAAATTTAGATAATAGTTGAAAAAAATAAAATAAAATTATTAAGATATATCTTCACAAGGTATAAAAAAATAAAAATAAAAAGACTATTCCAAGAAAATAAATGGTTATATAATGTATATATTTATATATTTTTTTCTTTGATCAGTTTTGTTCGGTTTAATCGGTTATAAACCTAACCATATCCAAATCCTACGGTTTTTATAAAATCATACCTATTCGGTTTATATGGTATATACCAAATCCAAACATATTGTCTATTTCGGTTCGGTTTGGTACGGTTCGGTATCACCATATTGAACAGCTACTTAGTATTAAAGAAAAACTCATTGTTGTTTGCTACTATTGTATCCTCTTGTACTTTTTAATCTAACCAGTGTTATAAAAAAGAAAGAAAAACTCCAAAAAACATTAAATAAACTTTCCACCTTAATAGATCAAAAATCAATTACTATTTTTAGGCCCAAAATATTTAATATTTTCAACAAAAAAAATTATCTATTATTAATCACTTATTTAAATCATATACTTTAATACATGTTAATATTTTTTAGCCCAAAAATATTTAATATTTTTAACAAAACAAAATTATCTATTATTAGTCACTTATTTAAATCATGTACATTAAAACATGTTAATATTTTTATTTCAAATAATAATCACTCTATATTGATAAATTTTAATGGTAACTTTTAAATAATTTATTATTTTATTTTTCTTAAATAATTTTACAGATTTAAAAAAATGTAAAGCAAAACCAAAAACTAAATCTAAAAACTAAAATCCAAAACCAAAAGCTGAAACACAGGTTATATTTTTTTGTTTTTTTATTTACAAAATAAACTATTTCAAAATTTTTAGAAAATTATTATGTCATCTTTTCAGTTTTAAATTACATGTTCGATTAATTGAGATTTGTTTGTTGGTAATATCAGTTCAAACTAACTCAGCTGGTCTAAAAATTAAAAACCCAAACCAAAAACTGAAAATCAAAAATAAAAACTTAAAAACTAAAAACCAAAAACAAAAATTTAAAACAAAATCTAAAAATAAAAACTGAAACTAAAAACTAATGAAAAACAACTATCACCACAAATTTTGGTAAACTAATTTTATACCAAAACATTCTTTAAATTAAGACAAAACCCAATTATATAAATTTTTAATCATAAAAAATTTCCGCGCTTTTCAAGCGCGGATCTAAATCTTGTTATATTTTAGAGATGCGTGCAATATACATAGCAAGTCAATTATGTTTCTTATTAGATAACTCTTAGATATATCTGTCTTGATTGTTCTCAATTCCTTTTTATATTACAGTTGATGACTTAAATAATTTAAACCTTTAAGATATAAATCCCAAATTTCTTAAGTAATAGATGATTCAACTTTCGTTTTCAAATACATTATTTTAGAAATGTATTTTAGAAAAAAAGATATATATGTCAAAAAAGACATTATCTTAGAAATGCATGTTAATCATATTCCCAGTTTAATTTGTTCCTTTTTTTTTCTTACAATACATATATATGTCTTTGATTCTTTTAGATATTTGTATGGTCAATCAAAGAATAATTCAAATATGTTTTTTTTTTACTGAATTTTTAACAATTCAAAGATGTTGATCCACATTAGTGGAGGTTTTGCTTGTAACCAGGTCGCCTTCTTGTGTTTGGCTGTAATTATCAAACAAATATATAACTATTCACATGTGTTGCTTTCAAACATTTATCTCTTGTGTATAAATTATGGAACCACTTCCACAACACATCTCACACATAGCCTGGAACAAGGACTATCTTTAGCCATGGCTAGACTTGTTCTTCTTCCCTTGTTCTCAGCTCTTCTTCTTGCAACCGCCATCACAACATCCGAAGCGTTCTCAAAAACAGTGAAGGCACCATTTCCACATAAGCCAGAGATGCTAACCCACCTCCGTTTCTACTTCCACGACATTGTCTCCGGAGCCAAACCAACCACCGCCAAAGTCGCTGCAGGTCCAAACACGAACACCTCTACAACTGGGTTCGGTTTGGTTGTAGTCATAGACGACCCATTGACTGTTGGCCCTGAAATCACCTCGGAGGAAGTAGGGAGAGCCCAAGGGATGTACGCATCGGCCGACCAGAAGAGTGTTGGTTTGTTAATGGCTTTTAACTTGGTGTTCACAAAGGGTAAGTTTGCCGGGAGCACGGCGTCGTTATATGGTCGGAATCAGATAATGTCGAAGGTGAGAGAGATGCCGATCATTGGAGGCACGGGTGCTTTCAGGTTCGGAAGAGGATATGCACAAGCCAGGACTTTTAAGTTCAATACTACGAGTGGAGATGCTGTGGTTGAGTACAATGTCTTTATTTGGCATTGAGTATCGACTCCTTTGGTTTTTTTTGGTTGAATACACTAAAAGAAATGAAAGTGGTGGAATAAAATGTTGCAATTCCTATTGTGATTTCATGTATTTAATTGTAATAAGTTGTGGTTACTTTTTGTATTCTATGTGGTGAATTTTGTTGTGAAGATAATCCATTTGTTATAAGAACTTTGTTTTGACTTATCTTATTATATTCAAAATTAACAAGAGAAAAGATGTTTGAAATTATGAAACTGATTAGAAGTGGGTAGAAATATATTATCATGATACTTTTTCTTACCTATGTTACTGCCAGACACAGACCAACATGTCTCTGTAACATTAATAGAGACAAACACAGGTCAAGGTTATATATGGCCGGTTATAAGATTTTGAAGAAAAAAAATTATTTAAAAAATTTAACATTTAAACAAGAGAAATTCTCTTGGATATTATTTTTAATTTATTTTCATAAAATAACCCACAAAAAAAAAGAAAATAATAAATAATTTTTTTATTAAAAAGTAAATATGCACTTATACCACTGGGTTATAACTAATCTAAACTTAGGGTTTACCGCTAAGGGTGGAGTTTTAGGTTTAAATTTTCAAATTTGAAAAAAAAAAAAAATTACTGATTTCAAAAATAGAAAAGGATTATTTTGATCATTTTATTTTTGAAGGTTATTTTTGTGATAAAAAATAAAAGAAAAATATTTGAGAAGACGGTCCTATAAGAACATCATCAACACATGGAAAATGGGGGGGGGTGTTTAGCTCTCACGGGCCCACCAAATTCCCAACATTCGACGCTTCTGGTTGCTAAACAAGCGCCTTCTTTTGCTTGTTGTTTGTACTGTGCGTGGATCCACCCTAGTGGGGTGCTGGGTTAATGCTGCTATAAACATTTTGGAAGTTAATATCTATTTATATTAGACTTGTTCTTGAGTTCCCCTAGGGTGAACCCAATAATATTGAATTATTTCATATTTGATATTTTTTTTAAAAGAAACAAAATATTATCAACTTATATTATGTTTTTGAAATAAAAAAGTAAAAATAAATAAAAAACAGCAGTAGTTGAAAAATAAATATAAATTTAAACATGGTTATCAGAACACTAAACCCTAAACCTATCCTAAACCCTTGGATAAACATTAAACTCTCAAATCCTAAATCTCAAACCCTAAATAAAAAATGTTAAACACTAATTTTAAAAACACTACACTCTTAATTTTAACTTCTAAACCTTTGGAAAATAAATAAAAATAGGAATAGTTGCTAAAAATAAAAAAATAAAAAAATATTTTAACGCTGTCAATGAAACATTAAACTCTAAATACTAAACACTAAATCTAAAACACTAAACTTATAGGATAAATCATAAACCCTAAGGTTTAAAGGGTTAGGAATTATGATTATTGATTTAGTGTTTAAGATTTATCCAAGGGTTCTGGGTTTACCCAAAGATTTAAGGCTTAGAATTAAGAATTTAGGGTATAGTGTTTGTTCACAGCGTTAAAAATATTAAAAACATTTTTTGGTAACTACTAGTATTTTTTAATTTTAATTTTTTTCTTTTCATTTTAAAATATAATATAAGTTGACAATATTTTATTTCTTTTTTAAAAAGAATATCAAATATGAAGTAACATGATATTATTAGTTGGTGAACCTATAGATTTACCCTAGAAGGTGAATCTAAAAATAAGTTTTTATATTAACTATTAAAATTTGAGTGTTCAGTAAGAATAGTTTCACTTCACTATACCCATAGTCGGCACAGGACTCGTGCCAAAACGGGAGCCCAATAAGTCCAACACGAAAGAGCGTGATTATCGTGCGAAGTCAATCTGACGAAGCACTTCAGAAGCAGGGAAAATAACTTGAACTAGATTAAGATCCACTGCATTGGGTGGAGTAGGGGTGGGCATAAGTCGAGTACTCGATATTTTTCGTATATTTAATATTCAGAATTGGCTTATACGAATAGTAAATATTTTGACTTGTACTTGGTTTGCAAAAAACAAGTACTTACAGTTTCAAATATTTGCCAAAAATTGAAAGACTTGTAAGTTACTTGACTTATTAAGTTACTTGTTTCTTGTAAATTACTTATAAATTCATTCATAATTATTGATGAATTATTTGATAGTTCATTAAAATTTAAAATTAAATAAATTTATTATATAAATAATATGTCATTTTTTCTTGTATTTAAGTCATTTGGAAAATGAACTATATAAGAAAGAAAAAATTTCAAGATGTTTATATAAATATAGCACTTATGTTTGATATACTTACGAAAATGGAAATAGAAATTAGTTATTTTACTATGATTTAGAAAACTATATCTTTGTTCATTAACAAATACAAGTAACAATTTAATATTTATTTTATACTTATAAGTAATTTAAATATGTTACTTGATAGTTAACCTATTCATAACAAATACTAATTTTTAAAGATCATGTATCCATCAAATATCGAATAAGAGGAAAACAACGAATAATTATGGTCACCAATAAAATGTAATACATAAATTTTAATTAACTAATAAAATGAATATTTAATATTTAATAAACAAAGTAATATATAACAAATAATGGGACAAGTAAATGATAACAAGTAACAAACCAAGTAACAAGTCAACTAGTTAAAATAAAAATGAACTTGATACTTGACTTGTACTTGCGAGTAATAAAATCCGTTTACTTGCTATTCGACTTGATTGTAACAAGTACTTGTTTATTCAAACCGAACCGAGTTAAGTAGCAAATACAAGCCGAGTATCAAATAATTGTGTCTAGCCCTAGCTTGGAGTGAACATTATATATATATATATATATATATATATATATATATATATATTCATTATTTATATTTATTTTTGTTTTATATATTATAAAATAATAAATATATATTGAATAATTTAAGATCAATAACTATTACGTATATAATTAAATTTTTGTGAACGCATAAATAAATTTCATTAAAACAATAATTATTTTATTTTATTTTATGTGGTATACAGTTAAATTGAAATGATACTAACGTATATATGTGTATTTTAGTATTGATATATATTAAATGATCCTTTCTATTCATATGGATTTTTGATCATTTGTCTTTATAACAAAAAATTGAAATCATTGATAACAAAATTTTAATGTGGGATTAATAGTTTTTGCAGGTTATAATTTTAATAATTTATAGCCGTTTAAAAAAAATCAAAATATAACATACACAGAAAAATCTAAATTTTAATCTGTGTGGACAATATAGTTGTTTATTTTTTTTAATTTTAAATTAACAAAATATGATAGATGATAAACTAATTTTTATTATTCAAAACCATTAATTTTCATACTTTAGTCACATTGAGAAATTCCGTAATTTTTTTTAAGAAAATAATGAAGAACACTAATGATAAATTTGTGGTTAGTTTGATAAAAAAACTTATTATAAAGAGAGATGAACCAACCTATTTTTCTAAGGATTTCTAAGGCTCATTATGGTGATGACATATGTGTACCTAAAATATTGTAATGTTTTTTTCTTTAATATATATGGCATATATTGAATAATTCAAATTTAGTAACTATATTAAATTGGTATGAACATATAAATAAATTTCATTAAAACAAATAATTTATTTATTTATTTTATGTGGTATACAATTAAGTTTAAATGATATTATTATATATATTGTGTATTTTTAGTATTGATATATAATAAATGTTACTTTATGGTTTTTTGATCATTTGTGTTTTTAACAAAATATTGAAATCATTGATAACAAAATTTTATTATAGGATTAATATTTTTAGCAATTTATAATTTAAATTCATTTAAAAAATCAAAATATAACATAGACAAAAAAAAATTAAAAAAAAATGGTGTGTGGAAAATAGAGTTTTTGATTTATTTTCTTAATTTTGAATTAAAATATGATAGATGATAAACTAAATTTTACTATTTTTATTATTTAAAATCATTAATTTTCATATATACTTTAGTCACATTAGGCAATTCCATAATCTTATTTAAGGAAATAATAAAAAGTATTAATAATAAATTTATGGTTAGTTTGATAAAAAACTTATTATAAACATAAATGGACTTGGACAAAAAAAAATGATAAACAAAGATGGAGCAACTTATTTTTCTAAGAATTTCTAAAACTCATTGTGGTGATGAGATATGGGTACCTAAGATGTTGTAATGTTTCTTCTTTAATATATAGGAGATAGCATTTGGAAAATTTCCTCACTAATATTTTAGACGACTAGGATATGTTATTGGAGATTCTTAGGGTGTGATTCTTAATTCATGATTTGATACTTTTTCGTTTATTTCTTTTTACATTTTTTGGTTAAAAACCGGTTCGTATATCTCTTATTTAAAAATAGATTCTTAATTTTTTTAAATTAAAAATTAAGAAATGTATCTTAACCGAAACTAAGAATCCTACCTACGTATTCCCCAATAAAAATAGTCTCATTGTATCTACAAGTGGAAGGAGTGACAGTTTGGTTTTAAATAGTTGTATTTTCAAGATACTCTTGAATAATTTTGATACTAACATGTCTCCAACTTTTTTTATTTTAATAAAACAAATCTCTGTCTTGAATCTTTTCAACTCTTGCTTATTTTATTTTGTTTTATTTTGAAACTAACTCTTTCTTAGATTTACAGGTTACTTTTAATATTTCAAACATTTAAGGAGATTTTGCTTGTTAGCACGTATTGCTTGTTTTTGGGCCAGGCTGATAAAATTATAAATTTTTAACTATGTGTTGTGCATAAATTATGCAAGCACTTGCACGTACGCACACTAGATTAAGCTCCCCTCGGCCAGATACATCTAATTAACAACGTTAATACAATATTTGAAAAGATATTCTCTCCATTTACAATTAAACTAGGTGATTTCCCGTGCTCATGCACGGGTATCAATATTCACAAAAGTAAAATTTTATAATAACCGATTGATATTCAGTTTTAGTTTTGAAT